AAAAAAGTAATTGAAGACAGAGATCATTATGTGCCTAATACCCTCAACCCAATCTTTGGCAGGTAACATATTTTTCTGTATTTTCAATTTACTGTATTTTAGAATGTTTTCCTATTTTTCAAGGTAAACCATTACTTGAAATATCCAGTGCTCTATTCAGTTATATACTGACAGTTAATTGTGAGTAAAATTGCATAAGGTGTTTTCCTTTGAAATCATTGGAAAAAACAGATGTTTGGCTGATCCATAGATTTTCTTTGTCATGTGGGTAAACTGCACAAAGTAAAACAATGTATATATCTGAAAAACAGCCTGTGTTAGGCATATAAGAATAACAAAATATGCTTATGGAATATGGAAAAAGTTTTAACTCTGAAAACTAGATGGATCTCAGAAGTAATCAGCTTAGCATGCATTCCCAGTACACTGGTCTTTCCATCAAAAGTTAATGACACCACAGAAATACATGAAAATAATACTAGTTAGGAATGAAAAGTTACATCATCTGCATAATTACTATGAAATTATGGGTCTGGTTTAGAGTTGTATGAGGATTTTGATAACTTAGGAGGTTCAGAGAGGAGGAGTAGAAGGATTGTAAAGGGTTCGAAAAGCATAATTTACAATGATGTACTACAGTTTTTCAATTGTTCAGATTATGCAAAGGAATAGACAGCAAAAATACATGATTACAGACAGAGTAACTTCCTTCCTCAGGAAGGATGCATGCTGATGCACAGAAAATATCTAAGTAATACATTGTGCAGAAAGGAAGGAGGTTATATCCAGAAGAGTAAAAATGAAATTATTTATAAGTGCAAATAGAAATTGGAGCATAAAAGATAAGAACTGCTGCTAGATTTACCAGCACTGGAAGCATCCTTTTAATACCTTCTAAAGGCTATTGCTCAAAAATAAATTAGTAAGTGCTTTTTTCAATTTGTATTTTTAAGTTTGAAAATAAGTAGCATTTCTCAATAGAGCAATAGCCTTAATGGGGAAATTTTATGTTTAGAATGTATGAACTCAGCTGCTTCTTGCCTCAAGAAAAAGATCTGAAAATTTCAGTCTATGATTATGACACATTGACTCGTGATGAAAAAGTAGGTGAAACCATAATTGATCTGGAAAACAGATTCCTTTCTCGTTATGGATCTCACTGTGGCATCCCCCAGCAGTACTGGATGTAAGTAATTTTGTCTGTTGAAAATTTTTATCTGTAAGACCTAGTACTCAATCTCTAAAAAAAACCTTAATTCTATGGTTAAAAAACAATGCTGCGGCTTCTCAAGGATATTTGTTGTGCTTGTTCTATCATCTAAATTCCAAGTGAAGCTGTAAAACTTCAGAACAGCCTTTACCCAAAACCATGGCATCAAATATTTTAATATTTTCTTAATACAGTAATGTATGTTATTTCTGTCCAGAGTACTAATGCTTAACATAATTTTCTGACCTACCGTTGCAATTAAATATGAAAGCATCTGTGAGTGTAAATTATTTTGATAACTAAAGAAAAAACACTCTGTCTTGGAAGGTAATTGAGCTGATACAAAATTATGTCACTGTGTCAAACTCCAGAGCCCTCAATCTAGGCAGTTACAGTGCTGCTCTTTCTGATCCAGTTTAATGAATACATTTTACATGATGTGTAAATGCCCTGAATGGTGGATAATTTCAGGATATGTTTCTTTTGCTTTCATAAAAGTTCAGGTGTGAATACCTGGCGTGATCAACTAAAACCCACCCAGTTACTGCAAAATGTAGCCAGGTTTAAAGGCTATGCTCCTCCTGTCGTCTCTGAGAATGGCAGAAAGATTAACTACGGGGGTCAAGACTATACTTTGGAGGAAGCTGGTGAGTTGATTCACTTATTTCATATGTTTTTATATTTTATTTGTATGTCTTAAATTCATTTTTTAATTAAATTTATTTGTATGTCTTAAATTGATAAAATATAAAACTTTCCATTTATTTATGAAGTACTAGAAAAATATCTTTGATTTTTCTCCAAGCTGAACACCCTTTTACGCTCAATTTTAAACATCTGGTTTTAATTATTTCTTTAAGTTCAAATGAAAATTCTAGTTCATAAGCCCCTGCTTTTTTCCCCATGTCTTTTATTTCAGAAGCTAACAAAATCTTGCATCAGCATCTTGGTCCGAGTGAAGAGCGGTTAGCCCTTCATATCCTCAGGACGCAGGGTTTGGTACCCGAACATGTGGAAACAAGAACCTTATATAGCACTTTCCAGCCCAACATCTCCCAGGTACTGTGAACTGGCTTGGTTATGGTTTCTTGAAAGCAGAAATGG